GATTTGTAAAGAAGAATGTCGGAGGATTTCGATATAAGCCAAGAGGAGACTGGTTTTCCTTTGCTAAAGTAAGGAAACTTTGCTTCCTTTGCTCCTGTAAACAAACGTTGGTTTTCACGAGACTCACTGGCGCATGCGCAACGCCGACGTCTTACGTCATCCACCCGTGTACAACTGTTGGCGCAAGCTAGATTAAAGTGATCATTACGTTTTGAATATAGATATTTTTCTTACAAAAATGCATCGATTAGCTACAGGAGGCCTTTGTTCACGCCCCCGGAGCCGTGTGAGGCACTTTTTATTATGGATGGATGCGCTTTATTTCACTTCTTTTGGACTGATGCACTGCAACACCCGCTGACTGCCATTAAACAGCTTGAAAGAGCAAAGTCAATTTTTAATGTAACTCCGATTGGATTCATCTGAACGAAGGAAGTCACATATGCCTAGGATGGCTTGAGGGTGAGTAAATAATGGGCTAATTTTCATTTTTGGGTGAACTAACCCTTTAACTTAGTGATTGCTTACGTGGTGTAAATGACTTTCAACCAGCATAAAAAAATATTTTTGTACCAAATCACCTATCCTGCCTTTAAGAGCAGAATATAATCACCCCCTGTAAATTGTGAGTGTTTCACACTAAAGTGTTTTTAACAAGTCATTGTTATTTTTGTCCTATAGGGCACTCTGAAGGAAAGAACTCTGAAGAACCTAGACAAGTACGTGATTAAAGATGTAAGTAGTAATTACGTATGTATATATTGTTTTTTTCTCAAATCGCCTGAGAGAAAACCTTGCTAATCATCATTAATGCTATATGAATAGAGGTATTTGTATGTGCCAAAAGACTCATTCATATATGTATCATTTTGTCTAGCCTCGTCTTCCTGTGTTACTGAGCCGCATCAAAGAGGTCGCCAAAGTGTTCCTGGCCACCAACAGCGACTTCAGTTACACCGAGGTAAGAAGAGCGCCGGCCCCCTAGAAATAATTTAAACTGCCACTGACAGGCTGCATATCATTGCACGCTATCATTAATATTCATAATTCATTTTTAATCACGCTGCATTACATCTTTTCTCAAATTAGGCAATTATGAAATACTTACTGGATTTTCCATCTGGCTCTAAGGTAAGCAGCATGATCATGTTTACTCTGAGAAATGGCTTGTGACTGTTCTTGATCGCACACATAAAGATATTCCAATTCTGAAATGACTCACGTTGTCTAGAACCCCAAGAAACTGTGGCGCTCATACTTTGATCTGGTGGTGGTGGACACGAAGAAGCCCTTGTTCTTTGCAGGGGGGACAGTGTTACGACAGGTAGACACGGTGAGTTATTAATGTTGTGTGCACTGCTACAAACACACAGAAAAAGCTTTGCACTCTTTTAAATAAAGCATTTATTCAGGCAAAAAGGGGGAGTAAAAACTATTATACCTGATTATTTCATTCATAACAATGAGAATATGGGTGAATCTGAAGCCTGTCAAGACCCTATTTTACCAGAAAAAAGAAAACATTTAGAAACATTACAAATACACTACAAATGCAAACATTACACTTTGGGTAAAGTGCATTCCCCCCCCATTTCTCTTTGCAGTGAATTAAAAAGTTTTGTTCTCAGTAACATAAATCCTTCCATTATGTTAAAAATATTATTACCTTTAAATATGCTGATTATAATACAATTGTGTCCAAGAAAAGATGATATAGTTGATATGTCATACAAATGGTCTAAAATGATATAAATGATTATATTATAAAATGTTATTTTATTATAAAATAATAAAAATCTCTATGCTATATGGGGTGACATAAAACCTAGACGTTTCATGATTTTTGCTGCTTAATATTTTTGTGGATTATTTTTTGTGACACATTACCATTCAAAAGTTTGAGGTAAGTACAATTTAAAAATATATATATATATATTTCTTAAATATTCTGCAAGGAGGCATTAAATTGTTCAAAAGTGACAGTCAAAACATTTATAATGTTACAAATGATTTTTATTTTAAATGAATGCTGTTTTTTTTACTTTCTATTAATCAAAGAATCCAAAAAAAAAATAATGTAGCACGGTTTCCACAAAAATATGAAGCAGCACAATTATTTTCAACATTGATAATTTTTTTTTTTTCAAGATTCTTGAGCATCAAATCTGCATATTAGAATGATTTCTGAAGTATCATGTGACACTGAAGACTCTGGTAATGGCTGCTGAAAATTCAGCTTTGCATCACAGAAATAAATGACATGTTAAAATATATTCAAATAGAAAACTGTTATTTTCAATTAAAATAATATTTAACAATATTACTGCATGTTTGATCAAATAAATGCAGCCTTGGTTAAAAAAAAACAAACAAACCAACAACCCCAAATGCTGAGCGGTAGTATATTAGTAACATTGTAAGCTATGTTGTTTCATTAACATTGAGTCACTTTGAGTTTAGTGAAATATCAGCAAACATCTAAGTGTGGATTGCACTTAAATCTCATCATTCTTCTTTTGTAGGACACTGGGAAGCTGCGTATCGGCACATACACCGGAAACCTTCAGCATGGGACAGTGTATTCTGGAGGTACTCAGATGTTCTTCTCATCAGGATCTGTTTGCTATGCTTGCACGAATGCACTCCTTTGGCTTATATCAGTTATCCTTATTCAACCCCTTTCTTAGGATCTTCTGACATTGTCTGTGATTTGCTGGATGTTATGGGGAAAGACATCCTCTATGTGGGGGATCACATCTTTGGCGATATCCTCAAGTCAAAGAAACGTCAAGGCTGGAAGACTTTCCTGGTGGTTCCTGAGCTTGTGAAGGAGCTGCACGTGTGGGCCGACAAAGCCAGTGAGTGTGTCTAATAAAATACCTTTAATATTTAGTTTTTTTTTTTTTTATAAAGAATGGCTGAAAATACTGTCTTTTTATAGGTATGTTTGAGGAGTTAAAACATCTTGACATCTTCCTTGCAGAATTATATCAGTGAGTATGATTTCGTCTCACATAGGTGCAATACTTGACATGATTGATAGATAGATGGCGCAAAGAGGGCTGTTCTTAGTTGACATTAATTCGATTTTTCTTTTTATTATAGAAAATGTGTTAGATTATATTATATCGGCTTTTATGTTATAATTCAAGACATTATTTTGTCTCTTTATGAACTTTTTTTCTGGACGACAAAACCTGAAACGCACACAAACAAACATCAACATCGAATGAACGTTTCATCTGACCTCTCATTCTATCCATCAGGCATTTGGACAGTGGAAGTCAAGAGTGCCCAGATATTAGTGCAATTCAGAACAGGATAAAGGTGAGCTCTGAGGATCATCTCGTACTTTACTCTGATGTTTTCCCATCGAATGCTGCGTTCCAAGTCCTCCTGGGACGTTCGCACTTACGAGTTGACAAGTCGTAATTACGACGTCAGGTGCGTTCAAGTCAGTTTAGTCAGCACAAGATGGCGGTGTACCTTCTTTTAATAAATGACAAGAAAATACAACAGGGTCTGTTAACTCTGCTTATAGAAAATGAAGAGCAAAAAATTCGCATCAGGTGTGTTTTTCACCTATAGGTGCAAAAATGATAGCATTTTTTTACTTGGATTTCATTAACTAGCTGCGTAACAAGAACATGACCAATTTAAATTTATAGGACAACTAAACTATCAATTTAAACAAAAATTTACCGTCAACTACAGACGTTGCATCCATCGATTCCGCCATGTTTCTCATTGACACGCCCCCAACTCGGAAACTCGGGGCTTAAAGAAAGTTTCGAGTTTCCCACTCGTAACAACGACTTTGTGGTAGCGTTCATGTGCGTTCAACTCGTAAATACGATCTATCCAACATGACTTGAACGCACCATAACTTCTTGCTCTTCATGCAAAATATCCAGAATTTTGTTTATACCAAAGAACCTCTAAAGTACTGGAACTGTTATAATAAAGTTGTTCATTTGTGTTTCAGATGGTGACGTATGGCATGGATCTGTGCTATGGAAAAGTGGGCAGTCTTTTACGCTGTGGTTCCACAAAAACCCTCTTTGCCAGTCAGTTACTGCGCTATGCGGATATATACTCTACCTCCTGCCTCAACCTCCTAAACTACCCCTTCAGCTACCTCTTCAGAGCCCCTCTTGTCCTGGTAAGCCTGTCCTGCCTAACGATATTGGAATATCATTGTTTTGTTTTGTCTTATTAATTATAAATATTCATATATCAGTAAATATCATGAAACAGGTGCTGGTGTTTTGTCTTTATTTTGACTGAATGTTGCAGCTGCCACATGAGGCCGCTGTGGAGTCTCAGACTAAAGAGTAGATCACAGAGCTGTCAGAGCACGTGCTCAAAACCACCAGCATCAAGGTTTGAACGGCACAATCACTTCATTTTTCATTCTCATAATTCTGTTATATATTTTGACGTATTGTTGTATTCCTAAAATGCATTACACCCAAACATCAAGTGTTACAATATTGTCCTCCCGTGTTTTCTGTTTTAAATTGAGGTTTTATTTTCCTTTTCTAAATATTAAAGTGATTTACATCATTACATCTTTCCCACACAGCGGCAATGTGAGTGTGAAGACGGTGACTGTGGACAAGAAGATAATTGTGCCCAAAATAATCCACCTACCTCCACAGAGACATGAGGACGGAGTTCTTTCTCTTTTTACTGCTCTAAATATGAGCTTTTTATCAAGTGTGCATATGTTTCACTTTAACATTTTCCAATCCTGCCTTTAAACTGTGTATTTATGTGGTTGATTTGCAGTATTAGCTTTAACTTGAGTATGATTCTGGCAGGTAATTGTGAGTAAAAGGAATTTGCCAAGTTTTTTGTGATGTTAACAAGTTATTTAAGTTAACAGCTTTTGTGTTGTTATGTGTAAAGCAAGTGTAAAATCTTTATTTAACCATTTTATAAAACTTTTATATTCAGTGTGTTTAATTTAAGACCTTTGATAGAATGTAACTCAGTCTTTTGTCCGTCAGTCATGAATGCATGAAAACTGAAGAACTGGGTTGCAGGATTTTGAAGTCAAATGTTTATTTGCATATGTTTATAATGTCTCCTCCCATGTGACAGAATCCCATACAATAATGCAGGGATTGACATATAATTAAGTAGAAAGTAAGTTTAAAAATGTTTCTGATTTAATAGGCCTATATTTATGCATTTACAAGCTATTTTTCATAAGCATACTGAAAAAAAATATTAAAAGCACTATATTTTAGACGTTGTCATTTATTTATAATTTGATTGAACTCATGAATTATTATTAAGACACGTGTAAAAGTTAATTTCCTGTTGTAATGAGTTAAACTAGAGTCGGTTCCTGCAACTTATCAACGGTATAAAGATAAGGAACTGTATTAAATCGACAAATTCGGTGATTAAATACGCAAGTAAAAAAAAGTTTAATCTATGGCGTGTAAATTAATCAACAAATGGACATCTTCAGGAAAATCTCTGTAGCTGTCCGTAAGATGGCGGCAAAGACTTAGTGTGCGCACGACCTGACAAGGAAGACCTTTCCTTTCACCATAATCAGCTACTGTTAGAACATAATTAGAAAATCATCACTGACTTTGACTTTGTATAAAAGGGTAAACAGCTCGTTTTTAATAAGCCGCTACTCTCTTCATGCAGATCTCGCGCTAATTTGTCTTAATTTCCGTTGCTTCGACCAATTTAACCAGAGAGGAGCGATAACCTGGCGAACAGTATAAACATGATAAATTATTAATGACCAAATGAACATTTATTACTACAGATGTCGATACCTACAATGATAATCATAAATGTAAAGGTATGGAAACAGGTTGCTCCTACTGTGCAAATCAAGCGTTATTAAGTACGATATAACTCAAAGAATAGCGTGTTATTTACATTCAAAACGAAGAGTTTAAATTCACAGAGGCCTGTGTGTGAATCACGCTTAACAAACCCTTTCCACGAACACAGCACGTGAGGCATTTAGAGCAACACAGATCGTGAGAACTATTTTAAACTATTATTGCTTAACTTTAACCTATAGCGGTCCATTCAAATGGTGATTTTGGCCTGTCTTGACCTTCATGACTGAATCTAACAGTAACATCATAAAACAAACATCATTTTGACAATGAATTCATTACAGTACAATCTTTTAATAATAAAAAAAAAAAATCTAGCCTATATCTTAATTTAGCATTCAAGCCTGTTACTGCATGAGTTTACTTCTATTATGGAAAAACATTCCTAATGAAATAACATTACATAGCATGCCATGCAGTAAATGTCTGACTTCCTCAAACTGTAGTGTTGACTGCATTTGTCAAGCAAAACCATTCAAAAGAAAAATTATAAAACTAATATTTTTCTTTAAATTATGGAAGCACTAGTTCAACATTACCTACAAACCAACATTTAGCAGACCAAATAAAAATGTTTATTGTAAGAAAACTTAAGTTTAATAATCAACATTTACACTTTGAGACTTTGAGATCATTCTGAGGTTAAATACATATTTAAAATCATAACATGAAATATTTTATTAGCTATGATACCGTTTTTGAAATCAAATCTTTACATAGCTATGACAGTAAACACTGGAATCTAACAATGCCTTGGAAAAAAAACAGTTAATCTTTAAAAAATGAAGCATAGCTATACATAAACCCATATAGGAAATAAAAGAGTTATCAAAAAAGCATGTTCTAAACTCCTAAAACATTGGTGTTTCATATTTTAGAGCAGTCACTGCAATTTATGAAAGAAATCAATTAAATCTGTATGTGGGGGTGTGTGTGAAAAAAATCAGATGTAACCCCCTTTGTAATCCTTAACATTTTCATAAGTAACTGTAATTTAATTACACATTTTTTCTCAGTAACTGTAACTGATTACAATTACTTTTATTTTGTAATTAAATTATGTAATTCCGTTACATGTAACTAGTTACTACCCAACACTGGCTAAACCCTTAGTATGGATTGATTGCCCTTTGACTTTAACTGGGTCTAGTATCACACAGACTCAATTTCAAACAGATCCAGCTAAAATTCAGTTTCTACATCACAAATAACAATGCAGTGGTTTTAAGACACCAGACCTCCTTCATACCCATATTCTGGCAGCTTGACAATCCTGGGGCTTATAAAACGATTCGAGTCAAAGCTTTAATAACACTTTTAAATGTTTAACTCAAGTGGTCTTTGACCCTTTTTGAGTGACCTTCAAATGAAACACTGGAGTGCAATTTAGTGGTAATCAACTTGTTGCATCATGTTCAACCATCAAGCCAAAACAAGGTGTAACCGATATTAAAACCAAACACACTCGCACATTTGTTTTGTTTTTTTCTCCATAATCAAAAAAGCAGTTGTGACATTAGATTAAAGTATACAGGTGAGCTGATTATTGAGCAATCTGTTTATGAGAAGCGAAAGCATCCTGCACTCTTAAAAATTCAAGTTTTTCACTCTTAAGAAAGGGGGTCTTCGCAGTGGTTCCACAGAGTTTTGGTTCTTAAAAGAAGTCATTTTTTTCTTAGCGTGTGTAGAACATTTTAATCTAAAGAACCCCTTTCCACTATTAAACAAAAACATTTTGTCCAATGGAATTATTCCATGAAGGTTCTTCATGAAACCACAGATGTCAATAAAGAAACTTTATTTTCTTTTTTTTAAAAGAGAACTTTGTAGAATGGAAAGATTCTTAATGTTAAAGGTTATTCATGAAACCACAGATTTCCTTTTTAGAACCTTTATTTTTAAGAATGCTTATGTCCATGAGGAACCTTCAACATCCATGGAATCTTTCCATTCTACAAACAATTATTTAAAAAAATAAAGGTTCTTTACTGCCACATTGATGGTTCCACGAAGAACCTTTAACATGCATGTAACCTTTCCGACAAAAAGTTCTTTAAAGTGGAAAAAGGTTCTTTAGATTTTTAAAATGTTCTTCACACCAAGAAGAGAATGATTCTTTTAAGAACTATTCACTGAAAGGTTCTTTAGGGAACTAAAAATGGTTCTTCTATGGCATTGTTGCAAAAACTCCTTTTTGAAACTTTATTTTTAAGAGTGATATAATGGAAAAACGTTCTTTCAATTATTAAAACGTTCTTCACACCGAGTTAAAAAATGGTTCTTTTAAAAACAGTTCACTGAAAGGTTCTTGAAAGCAAAAATGGCACTTCAACCATCTGAAAACCCCTTTAGGAAGTTTTATTTTGAAGAGTGTGGTGATGTCCCGTATGATAGCGCCACAGACACATATCATCACCCATTCCTCACATTCCACTATTTCCCAGCAACCTTTGCAAACGTGCCCCGACAAGTCACAGTCATTACTGAAGTGGTTGAGGTGCTCCAGAGTTTCCCACCTCAATGGATAAACAGGGCTGAGATTTAACCCCAGGCGTATTCCTAAATTTACGCTACTGCTTTGGTGCAAAACCGACTTTGATAAACAAAATTTCATCGCAGACACTTTTTATCACTAAAGAGCTGATTACGACACGTTTACAGCCTTCACATGTAGAGTTTCTTGCGAAGTTATGATAATAGAGTAACCTATGCTTCTTCAACTTCACAAAGTCAACAACAGCATATTCGTATAGATATGGGGCAAGTACAGACACCTTGTGTAGCGACTCGCCCCGCTTATATAGGCCCGATGATTCCGAGCCTATAGGGTTGATTCACGCAGTTATGTTAAGGACTGTCTCAGCAATGCCGAGAGACACGTTTAGCAGTCCTGGGCCCCTCTCCTGACCATCCCCCACCCCTGGACTTGCCTCCCTACATTCCACTGAAAACATTCCCTTCCCCCTGCTAACCTGCGACAAGGGAGGGTCCGACCCATGCACCTTTATTCAGCCCTTTAGCTCCAATCGAAGCCTCGCGCAATGACGCGATAACTGAGGGAAATGGCAAGGCCGCCGAAACAAATGAGGCCTGAACTCAGAACTCAAGTCCAAAAAGAACTGATTTTATTTCTCAAACACATGCGTTACAACAGTTACAGACGGAGGTTAGCCTATGTAAGGGGACAATCCGCCACTTGTTTCCTAGGGGTCCCGTGAGTGTTGAGCATATCAGAGGCTAAATGCTATGACAATACTATTGCACTGCTAAGAATGGATGGTACAGTAGTGCAACATCGTCAGAGCAGCTGACCTCAGCACATCAGCACGTGGACAGAGGGACAGCCATCTTCTCTGACCACCGACTGCTTGCCCTCAACTCCTCATATTAACTCAAACTGGCGTCTTCCTCCTTATCAGCAAGAATATATATTTAAAAAACGAATAAATATTTTTCAAATTATTTTCAATAAAAATAATAATTTACATAGGCCTTTTGCAATATAGATAGATAGATAGATAGACAGATATAGATAGATAGATAGCAAAAGGCCTATGTAAATCATTATTTTTATTGAAATGTG